GTTTAACTTGAAGGCATTGCGGAAATATATTACTATTGTTCAGTAGAATGTACGTAATAGGCTGCTACTACTACTACTACTAAAATTATTAAAACCTTATTTGTAAGGAATAATCATACAATATTTCTTCAATGTTTTAATTGTAAAAACATTACAATTAAAGACATGCTAAAACAGAATTTGGTAACAATAAAACATAAGGTTGGGAAAAATAAAACATTTCCTAGGGCCCTAAACATGTAGTTTTTGTTAATTTTTTTATAAATTGATGTTAAATTGATTAATTAGACATGCTTTTTGATAAAAAAAAAAATAAAAAAAAATCCGTAAACCTAGGGGAAACACTGCACGGCCTTATGACGTTTACAATTTTCTTAATTAATTAACAAATTGAACTAAACAAACACAAACGAATAATATTTAAACATAAATAATATAGAATAAAAATACACTTTCTTACATGGCTACAACAATACACACTGCCATTCAAAAGTTTGGGATCAGTAAGGTTTTTAATGTTTTTAAAGAAGTTTCTTATGCTCATCAAGGCTGTATCTATTTGATCCAAAAATACAGAGAAAAAGCTGTAATTTTGTAAAATATAATTGCTATTTAAAATAACAATTTAAGTAATTTATTTCTGTTAAGCAAAGCTGAATTTTCAGCATCATTACTCCAGTCTTCAGTGTCACATGATCCTTCAGAAATCATTCTAATATGCTGATTTATAATCAATGTTGGAAACAGTTGTGCTGCTTAATATTTTTTTGGGACCTGCAATACTTTTTTTTTTTTTTCAGGATTCTTTGATAAATAAAAGATTAGAAAGAACAGTGTTTATTCAAAATAGGAAATCTTGTGTTACAATATACACTACTATTCAAACGTTTGGGGCAGTAACTTGTCTTTCTTTCTTTCTTTCTTTAAAGAAATTAATACTTTTATTCAGCAAGGATGTGTTGGATGCAAAGTGATAGTAAAGACTTATATTGTTAGAAAATATTTATATTTTGAATAAATGCTATTCTTTTTAACTTCTATTCATCAAAGGATCAAAGAAAAAATGATCACATAATTTCTGTGTTTAGGTTTCCGTAGTATTCATTTTTCTTTTTTAATTTCCTTTTTCTTTTGTAAACAATGATAACTACATTGGATAGCAATTATAGAGTGCATCTGTAAGAGATTAAGATGTTTTGGATACATTTTTTTTTTTTCTCATCAGTAATTGCTCGCAGCAGGACCCCTTCAGCCAGCAGCACAACACAAGAGAGCCTAGAGGTGCATTTGGGGGAGCGTGTATTGGTGGTGGGACAAAGGACAGGGGTTGTCCGATATTACGGCAAGACCAGTTTTGCTCCAGGTATGACACTGTTGCCTTTCTAACAACCTCCTGCAGTGTACGATAACTCTGGAAAGTGCATTGCAGGTCGGGGTTAATTGCACATTTAGAGAAATTCGATGGCTACTCCTTTGCCAATGTTCTTGAATCGCTCTCCGTTATTTAACCTCTGAATGAATTAAAGCCATATTTCAGTAGCAGCATAAATGTTCCAAGATGTCTAATATCACACAATGGAGAGAGAAACATTTTATAAATGAGTAAAAGGCCAGCCACTCAGATTCGCTTAACAGATTATCCAGATGAAAACTTGAGGGGTGTCATTAAATGAGGGGTGTCAATTATTAAATTATAGCATTTTCATTGTAAATAGCATGAAATAAATAAGTAAATTAATAAAATAATACATGTTCCGGCCTTTGTTTTGGCCGTGGAAGCATGGTAGCGGGCTTTGTCTTGAACGCACTTCATTCCACGAAACGTTTATTCATTCTTCTTGCTTATTTAGGTAAATAATTGTCCAACAAAAAACATTAAAATTAAGATAGAAATTATACCAAACGAAACTCGTTTCAAAAAAAGGGATTCTACAAACAAAAACGTATGAAGTGGTCAAAAAATTATGTCTGACCCACTTCCTTTCTTCCGGCGTACTGCCGTCCAATTTACCACGCCCTTATGACGTTTACAATTTTCTTAATTAATGAACTAAACAAACTAAACAAACACAAACGAATAATATTTAAACATAAATAATATAGAATAAAAATACACTTGCTACAACAAATCCAAAAATACAGAGAAAAAGCTGTAATTTTGTAAAATATAATTGCTATTTAAAATAACAATTTAAGTAATTTATTTCTGTTAAGCAAAGCTGAATTTTCAGCATCATTACTCCAGTCTTCAGTGTCACATGATCCTTCAGAAATCATTCTAATATGCTGATTTATAATCAATGTTGGAAACAGTTGTGCTGCTTAATATTTTTTTGGGACCTGCAATACTTTTTTTTTTTTTTCAGGATTCTTTGATAAATAAAAGATTAGAAAGAACAGTGTTTATTCAAAATAGGAAATCTTGTGTTACAATATACACTACTATTCAAACGTTTGGGGCAGTAACTTGTCTTTCTTTCTTTCTTTCTTTAAAGAAATTAATACTTTTATTCAGCAAGGATGTGTTGGATGCAAAGTGATAGTAAAGACTTATATTGTTAGAAAATATTTATATTTTGAATAAATGCTATTCTTTTTAACTTCTATTCATCAAAGGATCAAAGAAAAAATGATCACAGGTTCCAAAACAAATATTAAACAGCACTGCAATACTGATAATAAATCAGCATATTAGAATGATTTCTGAAGACTGGAGTAATGGCTCATGAAAATTCAGTGCTGTCACAGAAATAAATAATTGTTTTAAGTATATTAAAATAGGAAACCAATATTGGAAAAAAAAAAAATTGCAATAATATTTCACAATATTACTGTTTTGTTTCTGTATTTTTCATCAAATAAATACAGCCTCGATGAGCTCCATAAAAAAAAAACTAAAATCTTACTGATCCCAAACTTTTGAACGGCATATAAAATCAATCTTTTGTGTTGATTATTGAAGTCAGGAGTTTTCTGACGTATTCAAAATGTTTCAAGGTTTGGCTGGAGAACAAACATGGTTTCACACAGATTGGTGAACAGAGAAGAAACTTGATTTAATATTGTTTGTGATTGTGAATGCGGATGAACCGTAGTCAGGATTCAGGTGCAGTTGTGCTTCAATGGTACGTTATCACTTTTTGGCCACTGTGGAATGAGACGCATGGGCTTTATTTAATACTTGAAGCTGGGCGAACAACTCAGTATACTGTTTATTCTTCTTGGAAAGTTCAATTTTCGTCATTGATTTGTTTTTTATTGAATAAGCCACCATGCCATTGTGCACATGAGCTGACACATCACTGTATTCACCGCTGTGGCTTGTGTTTTTATATTTATAATATTTATCCGCAAAGTTAAATACATTTGATTTAATAAAATGTGATTGAATAATTGTGCCTGAATGATGCTGGTTCATGGTTTGGGAAACTAGAGTAGCTGAACTATTGGCATAAAAAGCTTAAACACGCTCGCTCCAGTCCGCTAATTAATGAGCGCTGAGTGCTGTTGAACTCAGCTCTGAGGTTTGTGCGGAGAGCACTTTCATGTAGCAGGCAGCTCAGCAATTTCATCAAATCAAAATCTGAACAACAGATTTAGAGAGAAGACTGGGATAATTTGCTACGGCAGGTATATTGGCTAGATGTGGATAATGTTCAATTACAAGCACAGGAGGGACAGCGTATTATAAAATACAGTATACTCATGATACAAGTATGTTTCATGTTATTTATTTAATGCTTTTTCAACAAT